CATGGCTGGTTGTGAGCTCTTGCAGGGAAGCACAGTGCCCATGCCTGTGCCCATGCCTGTCCCTGTGCCATCCCCTCCTGCGTGGCTCCATGCCATCACAAGGCAACTCTATAGCCACACGCTGCTACCTGCCCACCCAAGGGGCTGCTTGGCCAGTCTGTCCTTGTTGTAGCGCACCTGGGTGGGAAAAGTATTTGAAATGTCACATTGCTCAGTACGCTGCAGCACTTTTAATCCATCAGACTCATAGCAGCTCATCGAAGAAGGGGTGAACTTCTTTCTCCATTGGAGAGGTGGAAAGGCTGAGAGTTGAAGAGGAAAGCAGCTTGTCTGTAGCAGTAAAACTGAAAATAAGCTCCTCGCCTCCATCTCCAGGATGGAGCCTTCTCCAGTCAGCTTGACCTCAGGTCTCTTCTGCTCTGCATCTTTGCTTTTCGAAGAGGGGTTATTTGCCTGCATCTGTGTGATGCTGTGGCAAGGGTTGTGGAGTGCAGGTAATCCCCTACTCACATTTTTTGTCCAAACACCTGTCCTGGTGTTATTACTATTTCTATGCTATCCCTTACGCCAATCCTATCTCCATCAACCTACTTCAAACCAGTCTCTGGCTTAGTTGCAGTCCTGGTGGATGGTGGCACTTTGCTCTCTGGCTTGTAGAAATAGGATGTTGCAAGAAAGTGGCACCAGCGGCACACCACGCTCATGCGGTGGCAGCCCAGCTCCTCAGCATCACACCTGGCTGCTGGATGCTCTCCTGAGTCTCCAGAACATGTTGACTCCAGATGAAGGCTCCAAATCCTCACCTGCTGGCCTTGGCAGCCTGGGCCTGGGGTATCCCAGGTGCTGCTGAAGGTGCAGGGATGGAGCTTCACTCCTCTGGTGTGGTGGTAAGCATCTGTGGCAAGGCCACCTATGGAGGAGACAGAGTTTGACTGGAGCCCGGCTGTGACAGAGGAAAGGATGTGCTTCCCATCCTGAGAAGGACATTGCCAGTCTCACCACATCCCACTTGAAGAACATGGATCTATTCTGCCTTCAGTGACACGAGCACGGTGTAGCATGCGCGTTTTGAATGCAGCCTCCGTGCACAGGTTGTCTAGACCCTCTCCCCTAAGACATTTCTCCTTTGGGTGCTGCATGAGTGACGAGACCAAGCTTCCTTGCTGGTGGACCCCTTGGAGATGCTTTCCAGCAATGTGGAGGAGGTCAGCAAGGTGGCAGGGTGAAGGAGAAGGCAGGGTCCTCCAGAAGAGGAGGAGTGTGCCGTGTGCTCCCTCTGTGATGGAGGCATGCCGGCTGCAGGCCAGCAGATACCGCTGAAGGTACCAGCGCTGCTGGGGCTACCAGACTCTGCATGGGGAGGCCACCCCAGGCAAGACTTAGCAAGGTATTTGGGTATGTGAAGCTTCAGGCAGTGGCCTCATAGTGTTGGCAGAAGTTCTTCTTGGACAATCCTGCTAGGCTCTGCTCTGGTTATGCTTCTCCATAGGCTGGAGCTGGCAGCTGAGCTGCTCTATCCTGCAAGCCCAGCAAGGCAGGGAGGGAGACAGCTCTGCCCACAGCCACCCATGCCCCGTCTCCAATTTTAGGCATCTAAAATACCCTTAAAAATGTCTAGACGAAAGGTACTTCGGAATAAGTGTATCTTGAAGGGCATTGGTCTCTATGTCTCTGTGCCCCACTGCTAAAATGCAGATGTTCATTTCTGCTTAGCTGCTTTGTTCATGTAAGGTAGGAACACCCTGGGGTGGAGGCTGCTTCTTATCCTCTCTTTGTGCGAGGGTTATTAAAGTTTCTCTGAAATAAATTATTTCAGTGCAATTGAAACTTGCCAATATTGGAGGAAAATCTCATGGAGGACAGGGATGCTCCACCCCTTTTTGGGGTGGGGGAAGCACATCAGATGCAATTGAGAGGACGAGGTGGGGTTGCAGCACTTACAGCTGTGCCCTTGGCTTTTGCCAGCCCTGCTTGACCACCTCCCAGCCCCTGCTTTAGGCCAGGCTGCAGTGACCGTGCTATAAACATTAGTTGGCAGATGCCAGAACTTTTAATTTGGAAATAGGATGCGATGGAAGCCAGACCAGACCTGTAGAACAGACTGTAAGTGATGTTGTCTTGATTTACGGAGGAGCTGAGATGCGACTTTTCTTGGTGTCTCCAGTGGTGGCTACTTTGCTCAGTGCCCTTGACAATGATCCTAAACCATGCTGGGTGTGACAGTGGCTTTGGAGAAAGTGAAAAATGTCATAATATTTCAATATATTGAAAAAACTTGTAGGGCAACGTTTTGGGTTTTTTTTAATAACTATTGGAAAGTGAAGACAGGGGAATGGTCAGTGTGGGACAGGACAGGAGGGGAAGCTCCCCTGTTGGTCCACAGACCTGGGCACCTTTGGGAGACGAAATGTTGAGCTGTTCCACGATGACACTACACTGCTGAGGAAAGGAAGATCGGTGGTGGCCTTTCTTGAGTTACCAGAGGACTCCTGGATGGTGGTGCCAGCACAGAGGTCAGGCTGTGAGAGATGCTTTTCTGTGTTAGGGATAGCCCTTAGTCAAGGGCTGGTGCTCCCTGCCAGTGCTGGGACTGAACTTCACTTCTGCGACCAAATTTAAGTAGATCGCAGATACTTCTGCCTTCCCCAAGCTGTAGAGATGACATAATCAGAGTTTAATTTTGTGCGGGAGAGCAGGAAGCAGGGCAGTGACAAGGGGAGAACATTTTAATCTAAAAGAGCCATTTTCTGCCTGCATTGAATAATTAGAATTCATGATGCCCTTCCGTAAGGGATCTGGCTTCCCCCTAGAACTGGAGAGCAAATTAATCAATTGTTTTGAACCTTAAATCTTTCAGGATGTGGATGCACCATAAAGATTCTGTAGGAAGGGCCTGAGAGGAATGGCGTGCATCCCGATTTGTGGATGCAGAGCGCCGAGGAAAGTGGGGCATGTGCTGAGAGATCATCGCAGCGATGCCCGCGTGCCAGGTGCTGCCGGAGCTTTTCGGCATGGACCCCTTCATCTGATGGGGGTGGTGGGGGAAGTGGGCTTCGTGGCCATGACCCGAGGGTGGTGAGCAGCAATTTGCAATAACTCGCATTCCCATCTCTTGTCTCATCAGATGAGGTCTCATTTCTTTGATGATAACAAAAAAAGAAAGATCTTAAAGTTTTATTTTTAGATCAATTCGAAATGAAATCATGGCTCAAAATCTCTGCCAACCAAAAAAGTTTAAAAATGGTTTTGGCTCACGGGAAAACATTTAGTTTCAAGCTCTCCATGCCCTAGAGACTTGAAAAAAACACCATCATAAAATCAAATGCCTATGGAAAACAATTTGAACACGAGGATCTGTGGATTTCTTCTTGCCAGTGGTGCTGAAATCAACAAAATCTCATAACTTTCCTTGTTGATCTGACATGCCATGTTTTGATGAAGGAACCTGTGCTCACAGTGATTTTTGCTGGCTAATGGGCTGGTTTGGGCCAGCAGTATCTCGGAGCTGTCTGTAGCTCGAGTGGTCCCTGCCATGCAGGGGTTAGAGGAGCAGGGACGCATCCTTCGGGTGAGGGCCAGGGGCTCCCTGCAGCCCAGGGTCCCTTTCTCTTACCTGAAGCGCACACTCAGCTTTTCAGAGCTCAGTGCCTGCGCTGTGCTGCTGCCTCTGAGCCTGCGTTTAGGCCAGAGGGGCCAGTCCCTGCCATGAGGGTCTGCTCGCTCCTACTGGCCTCTGGAGGAGCCGTTTGCATGGCAGAGGCACCGGCAGCGCCATCCCTTGCCGGGGCAGTGGATTGGGCAGATCCCTGTAGCAGAGTGGTGGCCTGAGCAGCGCTTGATGCTGAGCAGGAGGGGATAGCAGCACCTGCCTCCAGCTGCAGACTTGGACATGGTGTCTCAGGGTAGACGCTGCGATGCACCTGAGCGCTCTTTGAAGGCAACTCATCCCTGGATAAGTGATCTACCCAGGGATGCCATGGGAGTCCAGGAGGAGACCATGGGTGAGCTCCAGGGTTCCCTCTGTGGTCAGGGATGGATCCTTCCTGGTGGGATCACAGGAGCATCCCTTTCTTCTGGTGGGCCGCCTGTAGCCACAGCAGACAGCGATTTCCCTGAAATCCTGCTGCAGCAGCCTGTGGGGACAATGGCTATCCCGGGATACACATGCGGGAGGCAGTGTCTGGGCAGGGTCTGGACGTCACTTCTGCAGCACTTTGCAAGCTGCACTGTCTGCACCTCTCCTCTTCACTCCATGGGCAGTGATGTGTCCCAGGCAGTGCTGGGAGCTGCACCTGGGGAGGGAGGGTTAAGAGAGGGGACCTCAGCCCCCTGGTCCAGGGGCAAAGGGAGATGGGGACACCCCACTACCCGCTTTCTGCGGGGTTACTTCCATGGAAGACCTGTAGGCACTTGAATAAAAAGATATGTTTCTGTAGTCTTAAGTAAAGAGCACTACATCAGGCTGTGTCTGTGAATCTGAGCATTCTTCTGGCACCACAGCAAACTATTTTAAGCTATCTTCATGTCTCAATGTCTTGTATTTGTTCTTTTCTTTAACTGGCTTTAATAAGAGAGAAAAACAATGATGTCCTGCATTGTATTTAGATCTCTGCAAACTGTCAGCCCGTGCGCTGTGATTTTCTGGGAAAGTGTCATTAAGATCAGTGTTATTTCACATTTCGCTGTTTCTGACTTTACAAATCTGAGCTTTGGAGGAACTTGGGAATAGGGGTGAACAGTCAGAGTTCAGGCGGGCACGTTCCTCTCCCTACAGAGCTCTGCTCTTCCCCTTCCCATCTCTCACTTCGTCGGAGCTTTGTGGTTGCTTATAGAGAAAGCAAAACTGTGCCTCCCCTCCCTGCCAGGCTGGAAATCCCATGCTGGTCCTCACAGAGCAGTGATGACAAATGCATGGCTGTGTTCTGGGCGCTCGGGGAGATGTAAAACCGTGTCCGCTCGTCGCGATGCTCACGTGGTGATTTGTTGGTTTGATTCCTCAGGTCGCGAGCTGGCAAGCACAACCCTCCCAGGATACCCTCCGCACGTCCCCCCTGCCGGACAGGGCAGCTACTCTGCTCCAGCACTGACAGGAATGGTGCCTGGTGAGTCTTCCAAAAGGGGGGGGGGGGGGGAAATAAAAGGAAAGGAAAAAGACAGCATTTCAGGAGGAAAGCGCGGCACGCTGTAGATGCTCTGCGCTGAGGCGAGCATGAGGCAGAGGCCACAGCGCTGAAGGGGAAGGGGAGGTGTAGAGCGGTCCAGAGCAAAGGAAGACCAGGCTCCCCAGCGCAGGAGGTAGTCCAGCCTGTAGACTGACAAAGCAAATTGTTTGCACTGGGATGCTGAAAGAGCCCCCAGCCTCCCTTCTGTGGAGCCTGGGGATCACTCCATTTTGGACCATGCCAGGCTCTTCCCGATCAACACCGGCTTTGTTCTAACCCACCCATTTTCTCTGAACATGCTGTGTTCCTCCGTGCCATGTCCCAGTAGTGAGGTCGTTGGCCCTTGGGGAATGGACATGTCCTGACCTCAACATTTCTCTATGCAAAACTGTGCCCATCCAGCTGACTCCTGAGGGACACTGAGTTGTCCTCAGGATGCTGTATTTCTGTAATTTTCTTCCCCCTTTGGAGCATTGCAGTGAGAAATGCTGGGTGGCACAAGCCAGCACTTGCCTGTGGGAGCAGAGGGTGTGCAGGTGCCTGGGGCAGGCAGAGCAGGGTCTGCAGGCACATAATGTCATTGGTGCAACCCTCTATTGCTGTCGGCTGCAGATCTGCGTGCAACTCACAGTAGGATGGCAACATCAGGGTGCTGGCAGCGAGCAGTGGTGGGTGCACAGCGGTGGGAGCACCGAGCTGGGCTTGCTCCTGCCTGAGCACTGGAGGTTGGATACTGCTGGAAATCAGTGCACTTATTTCAGCTTGAAAGAACCACTGGGATTTGTTCCTGAGCTCTGCTGCCTTTGGTCTGCATGTGACAGACACTGCTGGCTGTGGGGGAAAGCAGTATTCCAAGACCCAAATATGTATGTTGAAAGTCATTAATCTGGCCCCTAAGTATCAATGATTTGAAAAGTGGTGATAATTTGGAGATCTCTTTCTTTCTCCTATTGCTTTCCAAGCCCATAAGGTCATTTGAGCCAGATCTTTGGAGTCAGCAAGGTCAGCGAGTTACTAAGGAAAAACCTCCAAAGTGGAATGTCATGTGTAATCACATGGCTCCAGGAGGTGGTGATTTAGGAAAAAAGAATTGTAATAGGAAAGTGGGAGTTAGTGACAAATGATTTGATGTCCAGCCTCTTTCAGCGTTAGTCTTTGTTACCAGCTTTGGCTGTGTTCTGCAAATTGGGTTCTACCAGATAGCTAAGGAGTTAAGAAAAAAATCAGCCATTTTACATGTGTATTAGAGTTAGAAACTAGCTATGGAAGTTAGACCATAGGGTGCATAGAAACTAATTTTTGCCCATAAAATTTAATCTCTGAAAGAGCTGCTGCAAAGGTACCAGATGCAGTTTGTGAGGAGTGAGGATAAAAGGTGAGCACCTGAAAGCAAGTCTTGTTTGAAAAGAACATGAGGTTTGGTCTTTGTTTCACGCCATTCCTCATGGATGCACACACACATATGGACACCGTTATCAGTATGTTTCTTCCATCCTCAGCCAGGCCTGCCTGACTGCGATGGCACAGCCGACTGTTCACATCAGGTGAAGGTTTGAAGTTGCATCAACTCTGTAGCTCGACCGCAAGCTGTAATCACGCCTTAAAGCGCGGGGAGCAGCAGGCTCGGTTGGTAACCTCTGTGTCCAGGGAGGGCAGGCGTCCTTCCCCGCTGGTCCCCTCCTCTCCTGCCTGGTCCTTCCTGGGCTGGCTCTTTACTGATGGCCTGAGCCCCTCCTCAGTCCAGGGGCATCCTCCTGCTGAGAGTGAACATCTGAAAGTCCAGGTGTATTCGATGCATCATTCCTAGCGAAGACAGCAATTTAGAGGCTTTTAGAAACCTTCTACCACCTTCTTTCAGAGCACCTTTCTCTGAAAATCTGACTGTAAGCCCCAGTTCCTTCCCCAACTAAGGGGAATACTTGCTCTTCCTTCTTTTTTGGGGTGATGGGGAATCAATACATCACTGGCTGTTCAGGAGCAGCTGCCAGGGTAGGATGGCAAAACTGCAGGACGTGGAGCTTGGCAGTGCTCAGCCAGAGGAGATGCAGTGAGGGTTCGGTGATGTAGAGTCATCTGAGCTGATTTTCCTAGGTAATAGATTTTATTTTTAACTACACATAGACTTGTGTGACCTATTATATTGAATAACTGCACTGTTCTTTTCACTGGTTCCTTTAATAACAACCTTCTGCTCCAGCTAGTGTGAAGGTCAGCTGTGATTCCTGTAGGTTCTCCTTCTCATTTAAGTGAGAATTTGCTAACTAGCATCCAAAATACCTTCTCAGTCCTTCTTTGACTCCTGTCCTTTGCAGGACCAGTTTCAGAGCCTTGCTGGGGAAAGCACCACAGTCCCTGAGGGGCTGACCCAGAACCAGCTGATGGATCTGGTCTGGTGCCATTGGCACATCCCTGCTTGTTCTGAAATGTACAAATCGCTGTGCCTGAACAAGAGTGCATGTTTGTGGTAGCAGGTCTCAGGGATTCATTTCACGACCTGCTGCTGCCTCATCATAGTTTTCAGAGCCTCTGCTAGAAATGTGCTTCCTTGATAAGATTTTTAATCGTTAGCCATTAATATCTGCTTGTAATTAAGTAATTGTGTGAGTTAAGTGCTTAGAGACGTGGGAGAAATGTATACATGATAAGACATAGGCAGTGCTTTGTTGAATGCTTGTTGCTCCTGCCATCGCTTGTGCTGCTGTGAGTAAACCTGTCCCTCGCTGCGCTGCTGGTGTTTGTCCCGCATCTGCTGAGGGTCTGTAGCACGCCTGCAGGGCAGGGGAGACCATCCAGCTCCCTGGCATTTCCAAGCTGGAAACTGGAAACGAGAGCTGTGTGGATTCAGCTGCTTGCTCTGTGCTTATCTCTCCTCCAGCTCCCCCGCTGTTCATGTGAACAGAAGATGCTTCTTCCCCTGCCAGCCCAGGGTCCTCCCTTACCTCTCCCACAGGCAAGGATGCACACAGGAACCTGTCCCCAGTGCACTGCCATGCCTTGCACAAATACCTGGTCCATGGTCTCAGATCTCCTTCCTTCCTTCCCTGCAAAAACAGGGACTTGCATACCAACGGGGAACTTCCTTTTTTATGTGGCTTGTGAACGTCTGCCGTGGCCCAGAGAATAAACTAATCAAATAGTTTCCTCTCAGTGAACCAAACAAGCAAACACGTGGCTTTGATTTCAGTCCAGAGCTTTATGAACCGAGATCTGGCATTGCTTGAGGCTCCTGTAAATGTGTTCCCTCTGCAGATCACAAGCCCTGCACGCTTCTCCTGCCTTTTGGTGGCTGTCACCCTATAAATGTGACTGGAGAGGAGCTCTCCGAGAGGCACTGAAGTTCCAGCAGAGCACAGTGCTCTGACAGCACAGGGCACAAGTGAAATGCTACAGTGTGGACGGATGGGCAGATAGATGGGAAAACAACCGGTTGGGTGATCAAGCTCGGAGGTTAATGCCGTGCTCCAGCAGGATGCTGGTAGCATGCGCGGCGGTGCAGGGTACAGCCAGGGATCTGTCCTGGTTATCATCTTCATCCACAAACGGGAACAAGCACATCTCGCCAGGTTTTCAGATGATGCCAAGCTGAGGAGTGCCATCAGTATACTCCAGGATAGGGCTGTCACGTGGAGGCACCTAGGCAGGCTGGGGGAGGAGTACAAAATCCAACGAGGACAAACATAAAGTCTTGCACCAGGGAGGGAGCACTTTGCAACAAAACGGGCTGCTGGAGGGGCTCTGGGGATGCAGGCACACCATGAGCGGAGCATCAGACTGCAGTGTGCACTGGCAGCGAGGACAACCATTAGCATCCTGGCCAGGAGCTGGAGGGAAGGGATTGTCCCCCTTGCTTCGCACTCATGGACTCATAATGGGAATAGTGCAGTTTTGGGCCCCCCAAAACAAAGAGGCAATGTGCATAAATTGAAACAACCAAGATACAAACTGGGTATGAGGAAAAGCTTTAAACTTTTCTCCCACGAGGAGGGTCCAGCAGTGGAAGAAGTTGCTCAGAGGCTGTGCAGTCTCCATCCTTGAGGGTTTTCACAGCCAGGCTGGATGAAGCCCTGAGCATCCTGGTCTGGCCTCGTTGCTGATCCTGCTGTGAGCAGGGCCTAAAGACCTCCCAAAGTCCCTTCAATCCTGAAATGTCCCATCGTCCTATGACTCAGTGTTTTGATTATGGCACTGCTGAAAATGTGCTGCAGAATCAGGAATTCATATGCTTCTGCCTGATACTGTGAGCAGAGATGGAGTCAATAAACTGATAACAGGGGAACAGGTCCTTCTCTGGAAAGCAGTGATGCCAGCAGTGCACGCAGGTGCACAGACAGGACAGCTCTGCTCTAGACCCCAACTGCTGTTTAACAACAGAGCCATGAATCCCCCTTGGAGGCTGGAGGGAGCTGTATGGGCAGCTTCCCCATCACAGGGCAGTGCTTAATGCCTGCACAGGGACTGGGAGATACTGCCCTCCACTTCCCTCCTCCCACCTGTAACCACGGTCTTATCCCGCTGCAGCCCCAGCAGCACCTGCTCCTGGCCCCCAGCTCAGCATCCCCTGTCCTCCCGTGCTCCATCACCAGCTTCCCAGCCTGCCTCCTCCTCGGGAGACCAGGGCTGAAAGGAGGATGGCGGGTGGACCCAGCATAAAATTGCTGACTGTTGGTGAATAGGCCTGTACGTGTTGGGAGCAGGCAGGAGATCGTCAGCATTGTGTGGCATCTGTCGTGGGCAGTCACGGCGCCCTGGGAGCAGCCACTGCCTGCCTGCCATCCTTGCCTGCCCGTGGCAGGGGCAAGGGACACGGCAGCTCCCGGAGCAGCTTGCCCAAATTGGACATTTCTCTTTATCCACATTGTCTGGTGGCTTATGCCTTGAAGCAAGAGAGTTTATTTCCCTTATAAATGTTTATTTTGTCTAGTGTAGCGCTCTGTATGTTC